TGCATGCGCATCGGTGATGGCTGTACACCGGCACACAGGTGATCGAGGTTGGGGTGAGTGAGTTTTTTTCTTATTTATAGTCAATATTGTTAATATAAGTTATTTATGTCCTGAAGAAAGTTCAATTATAACTGAAACGTTGACTGTTGGAATAAAACCTGAGAAGTTTTTATTTACAAGAGTGCTGGCTTTTTTCATCCATCTATACATTGTGCAGTCGAGCACCAGGCAATACTTCAAGGGATAGCTGGAGTGCAGAATCGTTTGGTATTGTATATGTGGTGTGACATTGGGCATGGAGGTCATAAGGAGGAAATGCCTCTAATGGCATCTATTATACATAGAACCAAAACCACTTCACAAACATGTGGATGCAAAATCAACTATAAGTATTAATTTATTGAACTTTTTTTTAAATTAAAGTTTATTGGTTTGGAGAAAGTTTATTATCCAATAAAAACATTATATATATATATATATATATATATATATATATATATGTGTGTGTATGTATGTCATTGTTCTTATAACCCATACAGTGTGCTGTATAACACTTATGTTAACTTGGAGGAAGGAGGAAAATGAGGATGTGAGTGCCTGTGCCAGGAAGCGTGAGTTCAGGTGTATAACTATGTACACAGCTAAAGCCATGGCCTTGATGAATAGCCACAGTAAAGTCAATCAAGACCTGGACAGTGACAACTATTAAGAACCTTTTTTTCTCCAAAAGGCAGAAATGTAGGGGGGATTTACTAGAGTGTTATCAATACAATTCTTTCTAATTTTTGCATTTTTATAGCACACTTTATGAAATCTGTTTACTTTTGTGCCCTATCCATCATTTTTGAATATGGGATTATTACACGATGTAGTGGATTTATCAATTTTACTTTTTCCAACGGAAAAGTGGGAGAATTTTTACTACCAGTATAAACTTCACAGTCTTCTGATACAGATATCTCTGGGAAAATGAATGGAATTAATTGTAAATAATAGCGTCACTTTTTCGATCACTTTAATTAATTTCCATCATTGTCTCTTCTACACTCATGCATGGACACCTGTATTCTATTAGCCAGGTAAGTAACACGATTCTCTATTGCATTAGACTCATAGATTGTAACGTATATATATTTTACTTTGGTTAATGATCAAAGAAACAAAGATGGAATATTAAGAATTATTGAATGGTTGAATTTAAGGTTTCTCTTTAATTAAACATAAATGATGTAGTCAGCGATTTATACAATGCTCTATGATTAATGCAATTAGAAAATTTAGTTATCACCATTTTATCCCTTTAAATGTATTCTGTATGCGTAAACTACCATTAAACACCTATCTGACAATCTAAATAGTGATGTGACGAGGAGAAGTATGTGTTGTTTTTTATCATTTTAAGTAATATTTATTTTTCATTGCTAGCAATAATTTTTTAGATAAACTCCTAATGACAAGAAAAGATAAAACACTGGCTCTCGCCAAAATCAATGGCAGACACGTTGACATACAGCTTTGAAAAGCAATCTGAGAAGAATAGAGCTCAGCACAATTCCCTGATGGCAAAGCAGCTTGCCATTTGCTCTGTACCCCACGTAATCCATCCTGTCTACCCTCTTTCTTTTTCCATCATCTTTTAAGTCCGCCCTGCTGAGATTCACAAGGAAACATAGCAATATTCTTCCTAGGTTAGATCAAAGACAAATGTTAGAGCCTTATCTGCTTCACACTCGTGAAAAATAACATTGGTGAGGCTGAAAGTTTATGACTTTATGTTTCACATTCAAAGTCTACTATGTTGTAATGAGCATTATAAGTTCTATAAGGTTAGTGTGGTGCACAGCATTACAAAGATACTAATGAGAAAAAATAAAATACATCTACAATCTGAAAGTATGGGAAAATCCCAAATTTGCATCAATGGTTAATTTGGAAAATTGTACTTTTGTGCTTATATTGCATAGAAACAATCCATGAACATAGGGCAATCCATGAACTGATACACAAGTATCCACCCTCTTGGATTCTTCCATTTTACAGAGGTTTAAAACTTAAGTTGGTTTGAGTGTGCAAGAACTGGCAATCAGGTCAGGCCTGTAAATAAAGAGGGCCTACGTAGGGAATGAGGTAATAGAGATAAATGGATAGGAGGGTGGGGTTCATCGAAGATGCTTGCGGTCATGAGAGATGTGCTAATGGGAGATTTAAGGCCCAAATTACCAGAACTACAGGCCTCCAGCCTTAACATATATACATTAGGTGCAGAATACTTTTACTGGGTTTTTTTTGTGTGTTTTTTTTTTTATTGTGGCACAAAAGTAAAATAAACAGGCAATGTTTGATGGCATAAGTATTTGCATACTAAGCAGACATTTGGTAGAGCTACCTTTGACTCCAATTACAGCTACTATTCTTTAAGTTTAAGTCTCTATCAGCTTAGCATGTGGATCCTGCAATGTATAAAGATTATATTGGACAAAATTGCTCAAGCTATGTCAAGATTTCAAGTCCTTCCACACATTTTAAAATGTATTTATATCTAGGCTTTGACTGGGCCATTCTCAGATTTTCAGGATTTTCAAGATTCAAGAATAACTATTGCATGGCATTTAGAATCATTATTCTGTTGGAATCTGAGCATTTGCCCTATTCTCTGGTGTCTTATAGATTAAACACTTGATTCTACCACCACTATGTTTCAAAATTAATGTTGGTGTTCTTAAGGTGAAAAGTAGTGTTGGCTCTGGTATTGTTTTAGTGTTTCAGTTTGCTATTATCCAGCTACGTCACTTTCTGTATGCTTTCATTATCTGGTAAACTTTTCTCATCATGCATCCATGAAACCCAGAATAGTGGAAAATTGTTATTACAGTTGTCCGATGAATGGTTTATTTCATTTCCACTGTGAATCTCTTCTGCTCTTACAGAGATACAATTAGCCTCTTGGTTGCTTCCCTAACTAATGCTCTCTTTACCCGGTGGTCACTGATTGTTCTTGGACTGTTATCTATAGGCAAGAATTTTTGTTTAAAATTCTTTCAATTGTTTTTTAAAGGCTTGCACATTGCATTGGAAAATGTTGATCACTGGAAAAAATTTTATAACTCAACCCTGTACAGTGCTTCCAGGGAACATTATCCCTTTGGTTTTCATGATTCTGTTTATGAGCGGCTGCTGGAAATAGGCTGGCTAATGGCGCTGGAAACAAGGGTTTTTTAAACTAAGTTTTTAAAATACCAAATAGAGATGGACAGAGATCACAGCAACAGAAAGGAGTTTATAGTCCCAAAAAAATTATTGTTATATATGCGACTTCCCTTTGAGTAAACAACAAAATATTCTTTGTTAGTTTTTTAACTTTTGCGTTACAATAATAATTATACTTTCACAATTTTATGTGTGTTATATAAAGCAAATCATAAGAATCCCAATAAAATACAATTTAATTCCATGTATTAGCTCTGTAAAACATGGAAACACCTAAAAGGGTTGAATAGTTGTGCGAGGCACACAATGCTCTGTTAATCTGTAACAAAAGAAGAAAAATTACAACAAGCAGTCGGAGGACGAGTGGAAAAATAAGCAGGTGGATCTGCCAGATGTATTGTTATAATATCAAAGGGTAGAGAAAGCCAAAGAAAAATGAGTTAGCGACTAATTTTTTTCAGTTTTTAAATTACGATGGCCCTCATTTGCTACAATGTCTGTAAAGTTCAAAGCTACAAACCTTGCACAATAGGGAACAACTTTCCTTTGTCTGTGTGAATATCTACCACCTGATTTATGTCTTTTCAGCTGTCCTTGGTGTGTAGTCCCAAAACTGAAATATTTATTGTGCGTGTTAAGAGAAGTTGTTTTTACATTGTCATAGTAGTTATAGACTACATGTCTGAAGCAGTCCTAACTTAGAGCAATGATGGTCTTCAAAACCCTCTTTTGTATAAGCAATGTCCCATTTCTGTCTTCAGGGTTGTGCAAATAACCCAGTCTAGCTGCACATTACAGGCTGAGTACTGGGAAGCTATTAATAAATAAAAAGGACAGATGGGCATGGGTGGAGCTCTATATTGGTGATAAAAACCTATTTCATAATAAATAAATAGAAAAAATTGAGTATTTGTTTACCTCTGGCCTATTTTATAGCACTGGCCTGGAGCTGCTGTCCCAATTACCCCTGTTTTATTTGGTAGAGCTAGAGAGCTGTAGATAGGGCAACTTAATCTTCTCCTGGACAATTTATATATTGAGCCCTCTCAACATCCTGGCACCAGTTTCCAGTCTCAATGGCAGAATACAGCGAGAATTACTTTAGCTAAGCAGTAACTCTGCTCACGGATATTGCTTGCTTCAAGAAACATCAGGGCTTAAGTCTAAAGAAAAATTCAATGACCACTGCACAAACAACGTGATATAGCCCTGCCTTTTTATGTCATGTCTTGTCTGATCTAGCCATGAACAGCATGTTTCTGATGCTCTCCAGGATATCAGCCCAGCCAGAAAGCCCAGCCAGAAACAAGCATATGTTGCATAGCAATTATGATATTTCTTAGCTAATTATTATTATTTATTATTTTATTAATTATATATCAACAGCAAATTTCATAGCGCTGTACAGTGGGTGGACTAACAGACACATAATTGTAACCAGACAAGTTGGACACACAGGAACAGAGGGGTTGAGTGCCCTGCTCAATGAGCTTACATGCTGGAGGGGGTGGGGTATAGTGACACAAAGGGTATAAGTAAGGGTAACGAAATAGGTTGCTAGAAAAGTATTCACTGAGGGCTTAGTAGGTTATTTTTGACAGTTTCAGAAGAGGAGTCATGGCAGGAAATGAAACTCTGCTAACATTTTAATTGATACGCTTTCCTGAAGAAGTGTGTTTTCAATGATTTTTTTGCAGGATTGGAGAATGGCTGAAAGTCTAATGAAGAAGGGAAGGGAGTTCCACAGAAAATGTGTAGCCCTGGAGAAGTCTTGGAGGCAAGCGTCAGAGATGGGAGTATCAACAGAGAATAGACGTAGGTCTTCAGCAGAATGGGACATACTTGTGTATTAGGGAGGATAGGTAGTTTGGAGCAGCATTATGTAGGGACTTGTAAGCAAGCACCAGAATCTTAAATTAAGCCCTATATCTTAATGTACTAATGGACTAACAGAGAGGGGAGGCATGGGAGGTGTGGGCCGACAGGAAAATGAGCCTCCCCACCGCATTCATTATAGATTGCAGCGGTGCAAGCTGGAAACATGTAAGACGGGGATTGCAATAGAACAACGGCATGGACCAGCTAATATAAGAAAGTGCAGAAAAGTTCTGTTTCCCAACACACTCTGCCAACAGTCACCAAGGGGCACCATCACCGATCTTTGACTAGCCTGGTGAAGCACTATACTACTGATCTTTCTTTTTATACTAGGTGCCTAGCTTGAGAAACACATGTCTGATGCAAAATTAAAAATATTTTAAAAATTCACCGATATCCCCCTGCTCTCTTCATCAACAGTAAAGATCCATTTCGATATCTGGGGGCTTCGGCCACCAAAGCCCCACCACCATCAGCAACACCTACATTACTGCTCACTGAAAATCTAGAATAAGGTCTCAGTGTGCAAGGCAGCCAGCATTTAGCACTCTGCCAAGCAACCAGAGATGCCAGTGAGAGAGCTTAATTGATAATGGCACTCACACCTGTTTTGCTTGCTCTTACACAACTCGGGGTCTTATCTGTGATGTGTGTGATGTGTTAACTTGCTGTAACTACAATGAATGTGTCTGGTTACTGCAATAAATTGTATTATTATGTTTTCTCTTTAACATGCATCTTATTGCTAATTTTTCCGGTTTGCTTAACTGTGATGCTGTACCAAAGTAGTCTTTTATAAAGAAATTGTGGTTGCCAGGTGAAATCTAGCCAATTATAACAACTAACAGATGCCTGGAGACTTTGCTCCCTCCTCCACTGAATGAGAGAATAAAGTGAGAACCTTGATCAAGGAATCTGCTACTGAAATTAGTTCTAAGAAGGAAATGTGGTCATTTTGCAGCCAATTGCCAGAATCATTTAATAAAAGCACATTTTGCTAGACGAAGGCACCAGATCAAAAGATAAATGGAAAACAGCAGCAAATTAAATTGGCAACCTTAATCCATACCTTAATACCATCCCCACATAGGAATTTTTATTGTGCCATTCAGAAAATCAGGTTTTGGGTTCTGATAACAGTAAATTTGTACCACTAGAAGTTAAACCCGACTAAACCAAGTATCTAGAAATGTGTTATTACTGGTAAATCAATTAATCCAACAACCACATGATTAAATGTTAAATAAAGGTTTTAAAAGGAATCAAACAACCGTATGAAGTGTTTAATATTCAAATGTCTCTCCTTCAGTACTTGGAAAAGGATATAATGTGTTGTATCTTGAAAAAAATATATTTTAGCACCGTTAAAGGGGAGAGTTATCAAAGTGTTATGATCTGAACAGTAAAGTTGTATTCATTGGTTAATCACTGTGGAAATCACTGAAATTAACAATCCATCATTTCCAATTGGTGATAACTCATGTTTTATAACTTTGTACTCCTTTTTAGATGATGACACTTTTTAAATGTTCCCCCTTTTCTGTCATTTAGATAGCAAGAATATATATATATATGTTTATCACAATCATTGTGGGGCATAATGGAAATAACTACAAACAGAAAAATATATTTAATCACGTATACCATCATATGGTCCTCAAGCTGGGGGAAGGTATAGTTATCAGAAATGTTTTGTAGATAGTTCTAGCCAACGATATAGAAAAAAAAGCATTCTAAAATTGTAAAACCTCTTAAGAGAAACGTATAATAGTATCAAAGGTTAGTTCTTACGAGAATTCACTGAAAGTATGTTATTACAGAACCAAGAGGCAGAAGTGCTATAAATGATTGGATTTGAAGCTAGCTGTACAAACATAAAAGAGTGGAAAATGCTGATGAAATTAATGTTAGCTAAAACAGTTCAACAAAAATATGAAAGTGTACAAATATTTCCAAAAAAATCATCCTCATCGTAGCTTTAGAGTATTTATGGTTATTATAACTTGTATAGCTTCTATATAACTTTTCCATAGCATTCTGGTTACACAACGTGGATATATAACAGCAAATAAGTTTACAATCTTAAAGAACATACAAACATAACACAGTGTTTACAAATGTGAGAGAGGAGATATGGCATGGTCTGATGCAGTGTGCCCAAAGAGTTGTAATTTATTCAGCCAACATGCTTGGAGGCCATGCCTTAACTTCTCTATTATATCAGGTCCTCTGCAAAGGGACCAAATAACCTAATTAGTGTATTTTGTAATGGGAGGGACATTGATGGGAAACCACTATTAGTTCAATGGGTGTCATAGTCCCCTGCATATTTTTAAAGTCAATTGCCTCTAGCAGTTTTGTTCTTCTTCCTTACAAAATAAACTAAGTCAGGGTTATGGAACTTGGAACTTATGGAACTTATTAAACTTCTAATTTTCATGTTTTAAATCCAATTGAAAAAACAGAGGCAGAAACAGATCATCTGGAAAAAAAAAAACCTCCAGAGCCACTACTTTTTTCCCACTTTCTCCCTCTCATTCTCTCTCTGAATTTGTCTACCAGTTTCTTTTTCATATTTTCACATCGACTCTGTCTTAATTAGCGTTATTCACTAAAGTGAGAATTACAGGTAAATTCAAAGTGAATTTCAAATTTCAGGTCAAAATAGATAAATTGTAAAAAATGTCAGCTATGCTTTTCATTCTGACCATAAATTCGAAATTCTCACCCTGAGCAATGTTTATGTATGAAGGAATGTCACACAGAGTCCCACACATCTTATCTAAATATCAAAAAATTTGGGCATTTTGGCATGCTAGTTATCCACGGCTATGGCTTGATAACATAGTTCTTTATTGTGCAACATGATGTTTTGCTCCAGTGGGTCCCCTCCTTGTCTTTATTGAATTAGCTGATCATTGTTCCAAATACACAGCTCTCTAACTCTGTATTAGAGATTATCTGACTGTTAACCTTAAATCATGCTATGTTTTCATATTGCAACTTTGTATATCAATACACTTTGTCCTCTATGTTTTTATAAATTTCTTTAATAAAAGGTGAAATGTGAAAACAATAATAGTTGAAATTCAGTTTGAATTAACACTTTTGTAAACAACCCTGTGAGTCTTACAGAGTAAATAATGTTTTCTTCCCCTTTTTGTGGGATAAAAGGAAATCACTACGATTAGGTTTTTTTCCTTTTTTTTGATCAACTTCAGTGGTGTTCCAACTGTCACAGGAGGCCCAGGGCGGACAGATATTCACTATGGCATATTAGGCAATCTGCTTACCCAGAAGTCTGGTGCCTAAATTGTCAAATTATACCATTCCTGGGTGCATATACATGGACAGTGAGAGAAAGCTGATATTCCTGATCTACCTCACTGTTCCCTAGCACACCATGTGGTGATACCGGGAGCCGCAATATGATGTCACCCCAGCTCTACCATCACTAAATGGCATGGAAAAGAAGCAGTGAGGAACAGCTTGAAGATTAAAGTAGCCACTGGACTCCAGGGAAAGGATCCTTACTGGACTACAGGGAGGAGACCCACACTGCACCCCAGGCAGAAAATCCCCACTGGAACCCAGGGTAAGATCCTCACTGGACCCTAGGGAAATGATCGCCACTTACAGCATTAACCCATGCACTATCAACCCTGTCATTCCTGCTATTTATTTTTATCTTTTTGTGTTTTTTGTTCTTTCTTTTTCCCATCTACCATCTATATCCTTATCCTCACATTTCAAGCATAAGGGGGGGCAAATTCCAGGGATGCATTGGCCTCCTCTTGCCCTGTGTCGCAGTAGCAAATCCTCTCAAAACAGATCTCACAGGACTGTTGTGTTATTAACATTGGATTTCAGTGGTAGAAAGAGGATCCAGGCACTCCAAGTATCTTCAATTGTATTTACTAGGATAAGTGAGACAACCCAAAGTTTCGAAACGTTGCGGTCTCTCACTTGTCCTAATAAATACAATTGAAGATACTTGGAGTGCCTTGATCCTCTTTCTACCACTGATATCTACTCCCTGGGGCTGGTACTGGCACTTGGTCCAGTTTAGCACCCAGATCTTTACATGATTTGAGTGGGGTTCGTTTTTTTTGTGTTTTTTTTGCATTAACATGGGATTTGTCTAACCCTTTATAATAATGGGCTAAATCATCATATTCTTTATTTAGGAGAGACAGGATTCATTTTTATTATGTACTTTCCATAACAATTCTTGTTCAGAAACCACCTCATTTTCCCATATGCCAATTATTGAATTTCTTACTGTGTACGTTTATTATTATGGCCAATCCTGTTTCCTCTTATCTCTAATTATAACAAATTAGTAGCACGTAAACAAAGGAGTGACCCTTGAGAAAGCCTTTATAGCTGAAACACAGGGTGTTGGCCCAATGACTCCTGTCCTTTCTGTAAGGCATTATATGCAAAATGTGTGTCTCTTTTGTCTTTATATGCACAATAATATACTTATTCTCCTTGTGCAATAAGAAATATGTACTCTATTAGTATTTATATTTAATGTAATTGTATCACTATGCTCTTAATAAGATTTTTTATGAAATAAAGATATATTTATTTTTAACTATACAGTGGGACCTCGGTTTACGAATCTAATGCGTTCTCTGGGACGTTTCTTATTGCGAAACATTTGCAAACCGAAACGCGGTTTCCCATAGGAATAAACTTAAAACTAATTAATCCGTTCTGGAGGTCAGAAAATTGTCAAAATGAGCTGGCATGGAAACCAACCCACAATGCAGAACACACAATAAATGGCATGCAAACGACGAAGCTCAGCTCCCTACCTTTCCACAGCTTGAGAAATGCACCAAAATTCCCAAAACAACGGAAAACAATTTCCAGAATGGCTCCAAAACTCGTTGCAAAAGCCGCTCTAACACCTCCACACTCGACACCACGTGCTACCCACAGGCTCCAGCATGCAGAGGGCGGTGCTATAAACCTCCTATAAAACTTGCTTTGTATTGCAAAAGTAATTTGTAAACCAAGGCATTATTTTCAATGGACTTTCATTTGTAAACCGAAAATTATGTTAACCGAGGCGTTTGTAAACCGAGGTCCCACTGTATTTGGTGTGCAGTGAATTTATTCTCCTCTTATCTCTATAACAGGTTACCTGAAATACAGGCTTTAAATAATACACATAGAGACACACAGATAGATACAGAGACACACAGGTAGATACACAGACACACATACAGACACACAAAAACACAGATACAGAAAAAATGTACACATGTTAAACCACCCTTCTGTTTACTACCTTTTGGGTGCAGGAACATGGCTTCCCTGGGGTCGAGACGGCTGGCCTAGGCTGTTGAGAGTCAGATGATCTCCCACTCAGCTCCCCCTTTTCTCGGCAATCCTCCCTTGAGGCTCAGTGTTATCTGGGAGGAGGTGACCAGCCATCACTTCCTTCCATGATTCCGAGATTGATGGGGCCTGAATGGCTGCCATAGGGTGGCTCTAAGTGCATGGGCCAGCCAATGGGCCCTCTAAGTGTGCAGGCCCCAGCTGCACCAATGGTAGTTCCGCCACTGCCTGTAACAGTGATTGTGACTGTGTTTGTAACTATGTGCATGTGATTATATGTGTGTTGTCTGTGTAACTGCGTGTGCATGCCTGTAACTATGTGTATGACTGTGTGCGCTTGACTGTGTGTGGTGTGTGCGACTGTGTACATGTGTCTATATGTGTCTGCATGCATAACTGTATGTTACATACGGTATGTGTCTAACTGTGTGCACTTGATGACTTTGTTACTGTGTCTGTCAGACTCTCTGCATCTGAATGTGTGACTGTGTGTATGTGACTATGTGTGTATCTGTGACTATTTGCCTGTGGCGGTGTATGTTTGTTTAATTGTGTGCATCTGTGTGTATTTTATGTGACTGTTTGTATAGGTATATGCATCTGTTAGTGAGTGTGTGTATAATTGTGTAATTACTTATATCGTGACTTTGTGTGATTGTGTGCCTGTGTATTTGACTGTACATGTTCATGTTTGTATGGGAGTGCATGTTTAAAGGACCACTATAGTGCCAGGAAAACATACCTCTTTCTCCAGCGCCGGACGGGGGACTCTACCCCTCCTCTCCTCCTTCTTCTTCCATCACCGGCTGAATGCGCATGCGCAGCAAGAGCCACGCGAGCATTCAGCCAGCCCGCCTTCCTATGGACGTTGGCATCTTCTCACTGTGAAAATCACAATGAGACAGCCACTAGAGGCTGGATTAACCCATAGGTAAACATAGCAGTTTCTATGAAACTGCTATGTTTACAGAAAAAAAAGGGTTAATCCTAGCAGGACCTGGCATCCAGACCACTTCATTAAGCTGAAGTGGTCTGGGTGCCTATAGTGGTCCTTTAACTGCATATCTATGTCATTGTGTAAGAGTGTGGGGGGGGGAATGGTAATAGGGTTAAGAAACAGACAAGAGGTAAGGGGGGCACAAGAGATAGAGAAGAAGTAACATGGATTAAGAGACACTCAAGAAAGCGGAAGATTTTAAGAGACATACAAGGTTGAAAGGGGAATTAGGAGACATACACAAGACGTGTCAGGAGATACACACAAAGGGTTTAGTGGGTGCACAAGCGATAAATGAAAGTTAAAATTCAGGGGGTCAACATAGATTTCTGCCCGGGTGACAAGTGACCTAGGTACACCTCTGAACGATGATATAATCAATGACTTCTGAAATTCGAGCATTGTCTTATAAGATGTCATGTAATGCAAATAGTCTCCAACAAAGAACTTTTAGATCAATGTTTACAAAAAATACATACTGCAGGAAAGCACCGATTAATTAAATTTAACCTTGCTGTAGGGTTTTTCATACAGTCTTTTTTTGGGGGACAGGGGGGTTATTTAGGTCTGTGCGGATCATGGATATTAGTAGATGTTGTCTAAACCAAGTTAGGGAGTCAGAAATTGTACTGTTCTTTTCATTTTAACTGCTTACTGACAAATTAGTCATGATAGAAATCTATGTCCCTGTTGCTTTGTAATGAAGGGGTTAATGCACAGCAGAAGAACTGGAAACATTACGTTCTTTAAAACTGCTCATTCATTGTGAGTCATGATATGTTTTTTCCCACACACATACACACAAATACAATGAGGAGGAAGAGCAAGTTTTCAACATTTTTCAAAACAAATTCACCTAACCATACCTGTTTGGCCTGATTCTTTTAAGGAAACTTTTTTTTTAGTAGCCCTTAACATCACCCCCTACTGAGATCAAGCAAGTAGCAGCTTCTCTGAATATAGGCCAGCACATTGTTGATAGGCTCAATGTGCTAAGAAAAAACAATGTGCATTTGATCTTGGCTTTTCTTAAATCATTTTGCTGAACCAAATTGCTCTTGATGTTTACACCTTACACTCTGAGCTCTATCAGATGGTTCATAATGAGATGGCAGCACCGCAGGAGGTAGCAGTATAAATCACATTGGAACTGTATCTAATTTATGTAGAACAATTATTGCCTGTGAAATATAACATATCAGAGAGCACGGCATCCACCAAACAAAACAGAAAGTTTTTACTTTGCGTGTGTGCCATCTCTATACATCGTATTTTCAGGTTATGCAGAGATTGTATAAAAAATTTCCCCAGGTCACTTGAGAATATGCTGCTTTGTACTATGGGATAAGACCACGAGTTATTTTGGAGGGTCAATGTTTACTTACACATTTTTTTTTGTGTGTTTTCATTTCAGTTATTTAAATGACAATTAAATTACATTATTGACTAACACAAATATGTAACACTTACATACATTATAATATAAAATGAACACAAAGGAGGCCATCTTACTAGGACGAAATTAGCTGATCTAGAACATTTTAGTGGGGCAGAATGATCCAATCTCTCCCAGTATTCTGAGACAGTCCTAATTTGGGACTCCTATGCTATTGCCCACTTGAATTTTGTTTTGCTTTTAATGAATCTCCAGGGCATTTTTGCCCTAAATGCAAAAGATCAAGCAGCATTCTGTGCGTGGGGAGTATTGCTTGACTGCCAAAATAATGTTGTGGCATACACAATGCAATTATTATTGGGTCTTTTGAGCACACATCTAGGATTCCAGCAGAGTGTCCACCCAGAAACCTCGATGCTAGCCTTAAGTGTATTAAGCTGATGTATGTAACTTTAGGATATGCTGGCATTAGAAGTCATATCGAGGAACACCATGCCTGTTAATGTTTATTGTGGCTAGGGAGACCCAGTGTGTAAATCTAAAAGCTCCCTCAACACCAGACACCAGGGACAACAGAACAGAGACTCTCTACCTTATCATCACTCTGCAAGGAGGAGAGGGAAATTGGATAATGAAACTAAATGTGTCAATGCCACCCCCCAAGTCACCCCCAAATGCTGGTTCTGTACACTCCTTGTCACTCCCATTTTAGTTTTATATCTCCAAACATTGGGAGGAATACTATCCACTTAAAAGGTTTGCACATCTATTGAACCATAATGTAAAAAAAATGTATTAACTTATTTTTGTAGCTGGGATAAAAAGTACAACTCAGCTGTATGTGGAATTCATGTTCTCTAGAATTCCAGACAAACAGAAATGATAAATTGAAAATGCAATATTAATACTATAACAACTTGTGCCCATGGCATGGTTTATGGTGGGTAGATTGGTCTGTTGCCTGTCAATTATCAGATAAAGAACCAGATTAATTTATAAAAATAAAATTATAGGGAAAATTAGCCATTAGTGTCCTTTTACTGTATTTCATACCAGAAACACGTTACACATTTTACATTTTCAAGCCCTGCCCAAAATAATGCAGAACATACAAATATCTCATAAATGTCAAAGTAGCAGTCCTGTTTCATTTAATGGGGTAACAAGATTAACATTTTCTTAATGAACATTTATATTTTCCACACATTGTGGGACAAAATATAATAAGGATCTTAAAAGAGTATGTAAGGCAAGGAAGTGATTCTCCCTTAGCATGAATTGTGTATACTCCTGGCCAAATAATAGGGGTATCTCAATAAGGATGGCGCAGGTGGAAATTAAATCATATTTATACTAGAAGAGCTGACAACCTATTGTTTGAGCTATATAAATAGAAACATGCATACTTAGTTCTGTGTAGTATGAGAGTCAACAGAAAATCTCAACAACAATCAGTATAAACATAATAGTTATATTACATGTACAAATTTCTTTAAACTATGAAAACTAAAACTATTCCACGTCATATAAAAATGTAAGAAATCTGTAATACTAAATACATAATGAAGAGAGCTCTACACCTTAACCCTAATTACAAGCAAGAATTTTTCAATTATAACCTATTAGAACATAGTAATACAGGGAGAGAGCCAAAGGGTATGGGAGCGCCTATTGAACTGTTGGCAGGTATGTAAAACCCCTCCAGCAAGTACTTTGAATTAAATTCTTTTTAATCGTACTGCTGCCTTCTTCTCTAACTTATTTCCCAATACTTGCCTTAATTGGTGTTAATTTTGCAGTGCTCGTTTTACACCTTTAACAAATTTATAGAATTTAGAAAACTCAGCTTTGGAAAAATGTACTGTACAAATGCTGTTTTCAAATTGGCAAGTATCTTAAAAGTAATGTATGTGTTATTTTAATTAAGTAGAAGTGCCTGACTCACCTATATAGATTTTGCATGATTGTCATGAATTGAAAACAGAATTGCAACATGTAGGACAAAATAGCTTATTTGGAAAAAAAATTGAACCGAGAGATTTTTTTAATTTGTGTATTTTGGTCTGCATTTTGTAATTGAGTTTCCGATTCGCTATAATTCACTTTCCCTACAAATAAACAGATATCAAGAATCTCCTGAGTTCCACAATTTTGATTTTTATTCCAAGGTATTCAGAAATCTGACATGTTGGTAGAAAATCTGGTTTGGTTAACACATTGTGTCAAGTTACATCTGTGTATGGCACAGAATAGGTTAAGCATTTATGATGTCTGCTTAAAGGAAGGTGTCCTCTGGAGTATGAAAGACATTAAGACTTTTTGGGGGAGCTGCCCACTGACTTTCATCAAGACATGTGGTGTTCCTGTGTATCGACTTAGTTGGATCAAAATAAAAGCTAAGTACCAATGCTTTTTTACAAAGGTCTGTTAGCCAAATTAATTATATATGCTTTTATTTAATATTTTTGGAGAACTTTTTCAAATGATTTAATATTTTGGATACACTTTTTAAAAGGGCACCAAAACTCCCTTTACCCTCCCTAACCCAACCCACCCTAATCTTTCCTCCCCTTTCACTAATATTCATATAAATTATTTTTCTTTATCCCCCCCCCCCCAAAAAAGGTTGTCATATATAAAGACATAATATTATATTGTTACAATTATATTACCATCACTGTATACATTCTTGTATATGCTATTTATGTTAACTGATATGCTTTGAGATATTCTGTCCTAATGATGTTGTATTGCATAAATTGCTCTAAAACATAAAAAAAACTCAAGTAAAATATTTGAAAAGAAAAAAAATATATAAAAGTTTATCATAAAATATTAAAGGAACACTGTAGTCACTATAACACTCTAACAATGTCTAAATTAAGTTGTTATAGTGCCTACAGTTATTCAATAGTTTTCCCTTCTTAGTGGCTCCAAATGACATTTAACTAATTAGAAGGCTTGGGAGCATGGCTTCAATCCATACCTCCAAGCACTCTGGTTATGAGAACCGGGACTGTTACTTTCCAGTTTTCATGCCATAACATACCATAACTTCATACGCACATGTGGAAGAATTGTAGGTGCATTGTGGCAACCACTGCACAAGTGCCTATGGTTCCCAATGCTTCTCTATGAGGAGCATTGGATTGGACTGCTGTCATGGAGGTATGCCTCCAGGATGACATCAGACAGAGGAGGAGCCACAGCAGCACCGAAGGGGACTCAGCACTGATGAAAACAAAATTAAAATCCTTTATTTCATTTTCTTTAATTTCTTATTTGTAAACTGGAGGGAAGGGTTAAAACTAACAAGGGACAAGTAGACTGTAACGTTAGGAATACAGATATGTATTCCTAATGCCACAGTGTCCCTTTAAAATAATTAAAAAAATGTATATCCAAAAATATTGAATCAAGGTTATAACCGCTATATTTATGGACACAAAGTGCATGTGACCATTCTTCTGAATTATATATAAAGAAAATATATTTTCAAACAAGCTTACAAATCTAATAATAGCACTATGTAAATATTCTTTTAAAACCAAATAACCCCTTAACGCCGTTATGGTGTTCTATGCCGTCCCCATTAAATGGGCTTTAAAGCCGTTGCGGTGGCATAGAACGCTGTAACGGCTTAAGCCCACAGAGCGCCCAGGATACTTACCTTCCCGGCGCTCCGCTTCGGGAGGACTGCCTGACAGCCCAGGCAGCCCACCCCCAGAAAAAGAAGCCCCCGGGGGCCATGTGATCGTTCTCAAAGAGCGATCACATGGCCCCCTATAGCTGGCTGTGGATCTGCCAGCAGGGGGACTGTCTGAAATATCAGACAGTCCCCCTGCTGGTGGGAAGAATAAAAAAAATTATTAGACATGTTTAAAATTAAAATAGAAATGTATTTATATATAAAATATATGTGTATATATTATATATATAATATATATACATATTATATATATGTAACGTTATACAAAGTGTATTTTAATATTAATATAAGTACATATATTAGTATTAAAATACACTTAGAATGACGTTACATATATATATATATATATATATAATAGATATATACACATATATATATATACATATAATTACAATAATAAATAAATAAAATAATAAAATAAATAAATAAAATATTGAAACAAAATTTAATATAAATTATATATTCATATGTAATTTCATTCTAACTGTATTTTGTTATTAATATATATATATATTGGTAACAAAATACACTTAGAATGACATTCTATATATATCTATCTACATATAAAATGCAAATAACCGCATATATATATATATATATATATATATAGATAAATACATATAATTACATAAAAGATTACATTAGTATACACGTAGAATTTAAATACCTATAAATGCATATATATTAGAATTCTACATGTATATTTAAGTAATCTTTTAAAAGATCACTATAGGCACCCAGACCACTTCAGCTTAATGAAGTGGTCTGGGTACCAGGTCCAGCTAGGTTTAACCCTTTTTTCTATAAACATAGCAGTTTCAGAGTTAATCCAGCCTCTAGTGGCTGTCTCATTGACAGCCGCTAGAGGGCTTCCGCGCTTCTCACTGCGATTTTCACAGTGAGAAGACGCCAGCGTACATAGGAAAGTATTGTGAATGCTTTCCTATGGACTGGCTGAACGCGCGCGCGGCTCGTGCCGCAAATGCGCATTCAGCCGAGGAGGAGGAGAGGAGGAGGAGAGTCCCCCGCCCGGCGCTGGAGAAGAGGTAAGTTTAACCCCTTCCAGAGCCCGGCGGGATGGGGTCCCTGAGGGTGGGGGCACCCTTAGGGCACTATAGTGCCAGGAAAACGAGTATGTTTTCCTGGCACTATAGTGGTCCTTTAACATAATTATGTGATTTGATTAATTAAAATTTGATTGACATGCCTGACAACACAGGGAGAAAGTGCAGAGAATTTAATTCGCAAGCACTATATTTGACCCTGTAGCTCTCCAAGACAGCATAAAACCTGTACATAGGGGGTACAGTTTTACTCGGGAGACTTCGCTGAACTCAAATATCAGTGTTTTAAACGATGATATTTTAAGTAAAAGTGACGGTTTTTGCATTTTTTTTACAAACAAACTGCACTTTTATGGACTATATTATTGTTGTAATATGTTTTACTGTTTTAAAACACTAATATTTGTGTTTAGTGAAGTCTCCCAAGAATAACAGTACCCCCCATGTACAGGTTTTATGGTGTTTTGGAAAGTTAGAGAGTCACATATAAGGCTTGCATTTCATTTTTTTGACATTGAAATTTGCCAGATTGGTTATGTTGCCTTTGACAGCATATAGGAGGCCAAGAATGAGAATTACCCCCATGATGACATACCATTTGCAAAAGTAGACAACCCAAGGTATTGAAAGTGGGGTATGTCCAGTCTTTCTTAGCAGCCACTTAGTCACAAACACTGGCCAAATATTATTATTTTGCTTTTTTCACACAAAAACAAATATGAATGCTAACTTTGGCCAGTGTTTGTGACTAAGTGGCTACTAAAAAAGACT